CCATTCATCCATCCATCCATCCGTCCATCCACCCACCCAGCCACCCATTCATCCATCCATCCTTCCTTCCACCCATTCACCCATCCATCAATCCACTAACCATTCAGGAACTCGAGTATACAGCCCCCCAGAGTGGGTGACGGAGAACAAGTACCAGGGCCTACCTGCCACGGTGTGGTCCCTGGGCATCCTGCTTTACGACATGGTGTGTGGGGACATTCCGTACGAACACGATGAACAGATAGTTAGGGCTGAAGTCCATTTCAGAGTTCCCCTCAGTTTTGGTGGGTGTGAAGTTGTCTTGAGTGTTGGTGACGATGGTGATGGTGGTGAAAGTGTTAGTGATGATGAGGAAGGTATTAGTAATGATGATGGTGATGAGGGAAGTCGTGATGCTGATGATGAAAAAGATGATGAAGATGATGATAGTGATGGTAGTGTTGGTGAAATGGGATTATTAAAGCCAGTCATAATCTGTGCTGCAGTGACCTGCTTCGAATGCAAAGATTCCTTTCTGTTGTGTATGTTTATGATGCGTTGTTTTGAACGTTCGCCAAATTTTTATGTGACGCGAAGACTTTGAAATTAACACTTTCATCTGTTAAAGTGGATTACTCAACAAGAAAGCAATTTTACGTGACCAAACACCAAAAATTAACAGAGGTTCGGGACCTGATACGAAAATGCCTGTCGGTCGATCCGAACGACAGACCCACTTGCGAACAAATCCTGGCCCATCCCTGGTTCTACACCAACAACTTGCCGGATTCCAGGCAGTACTTCCTGACAAGAATTCCGGAATTCAAAGGCAGGAAAGAATTGAACTTACCTTTCATGGATCGCGAGAGTGAGAACAACAACGGCAGTGAGGACGGCTTTGAAAACATCAACTCATTTCTTCCACTCTTCCTGGCCACTCAAAGTTCCCTCCAATCTTCCGCACTTCCGGATTGGGCTCCCTACACGTCAACTATGACGTCATCACCGCCGACCGTGACCTTCCCCAGACAGGATTCCCTGATTGGTGGCCGAGGTTGGGGCAAGGAGGAGGAGGGGGAGGACATCGTGCTGTCGGTTGAAAACGGGGATGGGGTTTTTTCTGAGGAGAAAAATAACAAGAAGCTGAAAGATAAAAATAATGTCGATAATTGTAATGCCATTAATGACAATAAAAACAGTAATAACAATAAAAATAAGATGAATGACAGTAAATCGACGAAAGTTGATAAGGGCGAAGGTAAGAATGAGAAAACTTCACCATCCCTGCTTGCACCGACCATCAACAAGTCAAAGAGTAGCAACGTCATTTCATCCAACTCATCATCTTCTTCCGCTAAAGATGGCAAAAAATCCAGCAATGATGACAAGATGGCCGATCAATCATCGTCGTCGTCACCGTCGTCGTCATCTTCTTCATCATCCTCTTCGAATAAGAACCGCATATCGAAAGGCTTAAAAGATTCGAACATCATTGGCATCAACTTGCCTTTCCTTATTGGCTCCAAACCCATCCTCAAATCAGATTTCAACAAGACTGAGAATGAACCTCAGTCACCCAAAAATTCACAAAAACTGCCAGTGAAAGAAAAAGTTTTAGCAACAACGTCTCAACAACCAACAGCAACAACGTCTCAACAACCAACAGCAACAACGTCTCAACAACCAACAGCAACAACAACAAAATCTCAGCAACAACCAGCCACCGAACCACATGCAACCACATCGTCTGTAGTCCAACTCGATAAGAATGTCGCGTACGTCTCGACCGCAACAATCGTCAACATTCAAGGAAAAACTGACGCAAGTTATCCTTACGTCATCTCTCTCACCGAAGTCGTTCCGTCAAATGTTGAAAAAAATTCCGCAACAATGTCGAAGAAAGTTGACAACAATTTGGCGGAAAGAACATCTGCTGGTGTGAATAAATTGTTGGAAGAAGAAACTAAATGCGCAACAATATTCACAATCTAGCAACAACAACAACGGGTTTCTAATAACAATAATAAAACATTGCCATCACAATTTTCAACAAAATCAACAACAACATCAACAACAACATCAACAACAGCAACATCAACAACATCTTCGCCAGCAGTCGTGTCAACAAAACTTGATGAAGTCATAAAGGCTACCGAGAAATTAGACTCCATAATAAAAGTGGCCAATGAAAAATCGACAAACAACGAAAAATTGAAAAACGAAAAAGATGTTGACAACAACTCTGCACCTATTAACTCGATTGGTGCAAGTTCGAAAGCAACGGTATTCCAGGCAAAGGAGGCTATGCTGCTTGGAAAAAATCCGGATGCTACAACTTCAGCAACTAACTCCACTACTGCAACCGTTTCTGTCTCTATAACTGCCACAGGTAAGAATAATGCTAACAATAACAAGAATTACATTAACGGGACTATTAATAAGGAGGATGACAATAACGCTGTAGTAGTGTCATCAGCAGCAAGTCTACCACCTCTGACATCAACAACACTAATAACATCAACGATGCTGACAGTGAAAAGTGACAATGTACTCAGAAACAGTCCCGGCCCAACATCGTTCAACTGTAGTAGCAGTTCAGCAAAAACATGTGCAGCCATTGCTGCTGCTACTACTGCTACTACAAACAATGCCACTATTTCAACAACTAAATCGTCAGCATTGTTGGCATCTACAACAACGTTGACGACAAGTTCTGCTACGACGTCAGCAACAGCAACAACATTAGCAACAACAGCAGCAACAACAACAACATCTGCAACAACAACAACAACATCTGCAACAACAACAACAATATATTTTCCAATTAGTTCGCTTGCCCCAATTCCATCGTCATTTTCAACTATAGCAAACTGCAACGCTGCTGCAGAACAAAATGTTGGAAAAAGTTTGTCAGCCAAAAATCAACAAAATATAATGACTAGTGTCTGCTCACAGCCACAAACAACGACGCTTTTTTCAAGCTCTATAGTTTCAACAACAACAACAACAACAACATCGTCATCGTCGTCGTCATCATCTTCTCAACTTTCACCATCATTATCGATATCATCATCATCATCAACAACAACGAAAACAACAACAGTGGTCAAAATTTGTGCAGTGACTACTACAACTACTGAGTCGCCGCCACCACCTACATCAACATCGTCAAAATCATCATCAACAACAACAACAACAACATCATCTGTAACAACTGCTCAAAACACGTCATCTCTACCGGTACCAACAACAACAACAGCAACATCATCACCACCATCAGAGACATCACTACCGTCATCATTATCGCCGCGGTCGTCATCATCATCAACCTCCTTTTCATCGTTCTCAGCCACATCATCGCCACTGTCCTCATCATCGTCGTCGTCGTCAGGGACAGCCTCGTCAAAATCTTAATCAGACAATTGTTTACACAAGCACTGTGCAATTCAATAATGATAATTATATATGTGTGTATATACAAATATATATACATACATGTTTTTGTATACTATACACACACACACACACACAACACACACACACACACACACACACACACACATATATATATATAATTTTAGTTTAGATAGATAAATTTTATTTAATAGTATTTTATTAGAACTTTCCTTAGATAAATTTTATGTGTTTGTTTGTTCGTTCGTTTGTATGTGTATGTGTGTGTGTGTGTGTGTGTGTAGTTATGAGTACGATGATGATGTAATGATGACGATGTCTAGCAGTTATTACCATTATTAATTATTATTAGTATTATTTATTATTGTTTTAGTATTATTATTTATTATTATATTATTATTAACATTTGTATTCTTTCAACTTTTCCTAGTTGGTTCATTAGTATTAATTAGGAAAGAATATTAATTATCTCGTAATGAACAGCAAGCAACGAAAAATAATAGGACGGAGACACACACACAAACAGACACGCACACACAGACACACACACACACACACACATACATAACATACAACAATGTACATTGCAAATTCTTCAATTTAGAAGACACCTTTAAATATTGTTAGAATATTTATAGATAGTGAAATACCTTGTATACAATAATACATTAGTCGACTAACTTGTATTCTATACCACATAGGTATCATGATATATAGGTATAATTCAGTCTTATAATAATGTATCTTCCTGTATTTTAACACCCAAATATCATTCAATGTAGTATCTTTAGTATCAAGGTATCTATTTTTGCGTATCTTGATATATAAATAGCAGCGTGCTTTGTATTGCCTGATATACAAGTACCAACTATTAGTATGTTAATGTTTCTTTATATATCATGATACATAGGTATGATGAGTTTGTATTTTAAGGTATTTTATACTATTTGGATACTGCGTAATTCATATGGTATTGACTGAGGTTTTTGTTTATTTGTGTATATTATGATACTATCATTGTATTCCATACCATTTATATGCTTGTTAAGATGTTTGGTTTTTGGATGGAGTATCTTTAGTATCAGGGTATCTATTGTATCAAGATAATTTTGCATTAAGTTTTTGTGATGATTTGTATGTTGGTCAGTTTGCATCAAATTTTTCTACCTATTTGTTTGAGAATTCTCGAAAGGTTTAGATGAAATTTATTCTCGTTCCAATGTTTTAAATTAAAATTTTTTTATTTAAAAAGACTATTTAAATTATTTATGGATTGAAATTCTGAAAAAATTATTTTTCCAACTGTATATTTCTTTCTTTCACAAGTTTGGTTTTTTCGAATCAAAATAAAAAAATGTAGGTGTGAATGAATAAATGAATGAATGAATGAATGAATGAATGAATGAATGAATGAATGAATGAATGAATGAATGATCAAATGAAAGAAATCATTTTAAAACTTCGATCCTGTGATATTATCAAAATTGTCGGACTGGCTCTGATGAATATATCTAAATTGTAAATTCAGTGAAAATTACAATATTCGGGCTAATTATTACATAAATTATATTATTATTTCTATTCTTCTTAGTAGTAACAGCAGCAGTAGAAGCGATTTAGTGGTAGCTTTACTAGCAGCAGAAGTGGTTGTACGATAGCAGTGTAATTATTATTATTGTTGTTGTTGTCGTTGTTGTTGTTTTTGTTGTTGCTGTTGCTGCTGTTGTTGTTGTTGTTGTCATAATTGTTGTTCTTCCTTATTTGTTTTGAAGTGTTTCCCATTAAATTACTAGTTTCTGCGAAAAAAAAAATTTTTTGTAATTGTAGCTAAAATTAGCAATTAGTAAAATTAGCAATGGGATCTCTCTCTCTCTCTCTCTTGAAGATACCCATTGCTTCTTTTTTTGAAGCATGTCTCAGTCTACTCTTCATTCATCCATTCATTCGTTCGTACATTCATTCATTCATACGTTCATTCATTCATTCATTCATTCATTCATTCATTCATTCATTCATTCATTCATTCATTCACTCATTCAATCCATCCATTCATCTAATCATTCATTTGTTCATTCATTCATTTACTCACTCACTCATTCAACCCATCCATTCATCCAATCATTCGTATATGAGATGAATTATGAAGTTCGCTTTTATGTTTTTAGGGTAAGTCAATGAAAATGTCTAACAATTTCTTATTGTATATTTCATTGTGTGTGTGCGTGCGTTTGTGTGCGTGCGTGCGTGTGTTTGTGTAACAACAACACAATTACAACAAAACAACAACACAATTACAACAAAACAACAACTGATAAACAGTTTTTCATTTGGTTTTTTTCTTCTGTTTTTCAGGGTATTTGATTCAAATTATTATCGCCCTCTGGTTGTTGGTTTTGATATATACGAACAATAAAACTATTGCTGTATGTATTTACACTCACACACACACACACACATACACACACATGTATATATATACTTACTATACATATAAATGTGTGTATATTATTGATGTTGTTATTGATGTTGTGATAGCAATTTGGTTTCAAATTTATTGAATAAAAAGTGACATCATCAAACCAAATTAGCGTAATATTAATGTCAATACAACTACTGTTTTTGTTGTTGTTGTTGTTGTTGTTGCTGTGGTTGTTGTTGTTGCTGTTGTTGTTGTTGTTGTTGTTGTTGTTGTTGTTGTTGTTGTAATAATGATTCAAAATAGTATTTTGTTACCTCCTTTGTTTCTTTCCTTTTATGTTATTTAGTAAATAAATCATTGTTTGCGTCATATTTATTAACGAGTTGTTATTAAGTTCGTTCGTTCGTTTGTTTGTTCGTTCATTCCTTCGTTCGTTCGTTCGTTCATTCATTCATTCATTTATTTATTCATTCTGGTCTCGCTCCATGCAGCAGTGAGTGGGTTCAACCGCAGAGAGATCCAACTTTATCATTTGCAATGTTTGATTGGATACTTATTAATTTAATCTGCCAGTGTGTTATCATATGTATTTTATATTATCTGATATCTTTGGTGAAAATTTAATGTTCAATCGATATAGGTTCACGTACGAACAAACTCCTTGAGGCCACATACACACACACACACGCACGCACACACACACACACACACACGAACACAAAGTACATTGACCTCTTCCCACTAAATTGGAACACCCAGCACTACTTTAGCTCAAGTTTAGAATAAAAAAATTATTCCGAGATCAAAAGATGTGCTGAATAATAAAAAATAATTTAAAAAATAATAATAAATGAAATATAATAATGACAAATAGAAGTGGATGAAGCGCTTTTTGGAATGTTAATTCGTAGAAAGAACTTTTACACAAAAATTTCACATTTTTCATTGAATTCGTTCAGAACATTCAAATGAAAAGTCATTCAAAAAGAATGGAAGCACTGACTAATTCATCATAGGATCACTAAAAACATTCAGCCAATGCCCACCGTCTTCCCCGAAGTTGATGGATGACCTTTTGGAAGCTAGCCACCGGCTAAAATTTCTGTCAGGCCTGTCACGAACGAATAAATTTTTGAGAAACAGTTAGAATAACGATAATGACATTATCATCATCATTATTATTATTGTTAGTTTGTAGTTAAAGATATTATCATTAGTATTATTGTTAATTTAAATAATATTAGTTGAAGAGGGCGACAAACTTGTTTAAAAAAAATTTTTTTCAACTCCTTTTCTACATCTCTTATTGAACGTTTTTTAAGTCTCTGTCCCCCAGGCCCGCTATATGTTTCCTCGGATGCTTGGCAATTTATCCAACTTACTACAGATTAGTTTCAACTAGCCGTGTCCTGCTTGAGTGTGTCTGTGAGGATGTTACAAATAACGAACACTCGTAACAAAATGTAAAATAGCATTACACATTAAACTGAGTAAAACGGTAAATGCAGCATGGTTGGTTCAACGTCTTCATACAGTACAGCTGAATTCGGCCAGTTAGTATTCCAACATTTGGTATATTTTCTTATTTAACGTTGTAAAAACTTTCCTGCATGTAAATTTCACTACTCCATTATATGTTCTGTTCGTTACAATCGATTCTAAAATGTTTCATTATCTTAAAAATATGCGTAGCATCAGACAAATTTACTAGGAGTTGAAATGTAAATAAGTAAAATATTAGTTCTGCCGAATCTATCAAATCTATCGGTTCCAAGTAATTATATTTTTTTAAATTTATACTTCGTGGTACATCTACATCAACTTTACACTTTAGTAGATTATTTTGCCTTCTTTAAACAGAAATGCAAACTTGAGAAGTGTTGCTCAGAAATGTGTTTACAATGTTTAGGAAAACATTTAGAAAACCATTTCTCAACGATTAACAAACCTTTCTTAAAATAATGACGGGGGGTGGAAACGCCGGGGCTCTACCTTTCAAGTACTAGGGGGTACAAAACGTAGTGGGTCCCTCTGGATAGCGTGGTATAGATCGAAAAATACTAAGATAAAAGTTAAAAAAAACACAAAATTTTGTTATTATTAAATCAATGACAGATAAATAGAAGACGATCGTGAGAATAAATTAGTAAAAATCATCCAAAATTAAATATAGGTTGAAAATTTTTAAATAAATTAAAAAAAATCAATAATTTATTGGCTCATTTACCAACCAATCAGTCAACCAACCAACCAGCCAGCCAGCAAGCCAGCATAAGCAATAACATAATTAAATAGATAAGTAGTTATACAAATAAATAAACCAAATACAGAAACCTAATTAACATTAAATTAAATAATAAATTCAAAAAATAATAAATACACAAACGCCTTATAACTATTCGCCGAATATGAAATAGAGATAAACCAAGATAAATAGATAAAATAAATTTTACACCATACTAACACAGAAACCATAAATGAATCAATCAGACAATCATAAGCAATATTCTTTGCTGTAGTGAAATAATGTGTGAATGACAAAAATGGAAAAACTATCAATTGACAAGTGTAACTTACTTTTGATACTATACCAAATAACTTTTGATACTATATCAAATAATTTTTTTTATCTAAGTTGCCAAAATCGTCGGTAAATTATAGACATAATTTTGCCAAATTCCATTCAAGGTAAAATAAATTTAGTTCATTTTATAGTTCAACACAGAACGAAAAATTTCTTACAACTAATTAGTAATCAGTTTAATCCACATAAATGAATGAATGAATGAACGAATGAATTATTGAATGAATGAATGAACGAATAAATGAACGAGTAGGTAAACGAGCGGGTGAACGAACGAATGAATGAATGAATGAAAACATATCTTATCCACATATAGAATAGAAACATCTAGAATAAACAACAAGCATTACAACAAAAATAAAATAATAAAAAAATGTCAATATATAATTATATATATATTATATCTGATATATATATCAGCTATATATTATATATATATCAGATATATATATCAGATATATATATCAGAAACACAATACATACATAGTTAGTTAAAGGTAGATAACAAATGTGCCTTCACATTATTCGTTAATTACAAATTAATTACCAATTAATTAATAAACTAGTTCATGTATCCAATTAATCATAATTAATTACCGTAAATAAACGAATAAAAAAAATGACGATATTCTTAATATATTATTAGGTTATTATTTTTGCATAGCCACTGCCAGAAAATGACACGACGAGGTGCTCATAAAATGAGAAAGTCAGTAGACAAATTTGATCCAATTAGGGATTAATAGATCTAATTAGTCAATTAATTAATCAATTAATTAATCAACTAATTTAATTATTTATTAATTTATTTAAAAAGTGTTATTTCAATCTTAGTTCTATTATTGTGCGAAGCGAAAACAGTTTCTGTGATTAGTGGATGAATCAGTGATAGACAGATAGTAACATTCACACACATTTTCACACACGTACGTACCCACACACACACATAAGCACATACACACACTCACGCAATAAATATTACTTAAAAATACCATTCAGTTAATTAGTTTAACCCGTTTAAACAATGAAAGAAAGAAAGAACGAATGAATGAATGAACGAATGAATGAATAAAAGGGATGAATAAAAGAATAAAATATGGGTCTAATGGAAGAGATTAAGCATGGGAATGAATGGATTAGAAACTCTTCATAAGCTCTTCATAATTAAGAAACTTTAATTTATGATAATAATAATTATTATTTAATTAAAGTAATAAATATCAGTAATTAGTTGATAATAATAATAATTATTATCATTATTATTAAATCCATTTAAGATTCAAGCAGTTGCAGCTATCAAGATATCTATACATCAATCAATCAATCAATCAATCAATCAATCAATCAATCAATCAACCAGCCAACCAACCAATCAATCAATCAACCAACCAATCAATCAATTTAAAATAATTATTATCAACATATATCAGAATAATAACATTGAAACGGTAATAAAATAATAATAAATAAATAAATAAATAATAATAATAATAATAATCAAGCTTCTTATTCCATTTATTACAAATCCGGAATTTAAAGACTCCTTGCTTCGATGAGGAATGCTTCCCAGAGTTTTATAACCTGGTTATTATCATTATTTTCAT